AAGTATAGTATATCAATGCTGAATAATCTGTTCTAACAGACACTTTTGTATTATAATTTGTATCAAATGCAGTATCAAGAAAATTAAAATATCCATTTACTAAGAGTAACAAATGTTCTCCATTAAGTCTGGTAATGAAAACCTCAAGGTAAGATTCTAAGACTGACATAGTCTGCAGTCCTTCTAATAAAGATTTCCATACTGTAGTGCCAGCAAAGACTACTTTCAGGGAATAATATGACAGTCAAACTTGTTTGTACTTAAACTTGCTTAATTAAAAGCAGTATTTCCCCACCTCCATTTAATGTAGATTTTTAAAACTGAATACTCCTTGTGCATCCCCATTCTTATTCCAATCCCAACTTTTCCAAAACAAGGAACACCTAGCAATTAACACAAAACATAGAATTCATTAAAGATAAATGGAGAGTAGGGTTTGAAGCAATTGCATGGTGTAGACTCTGCTGACTCACACAAAAAAAGCAGATAATAAAATATTACTGATGTTAGAAACAGTTGGTCTTTTAATATACTTAGATACGTGTGCAGAAAATCATTCACCCATGGTTTAGTATATGTACCCTCTCCTAGTAATAATGCACTTTTCGAAGTGCTCTCATATCTACCTCCCAGCAATTCTATTATATAAGCCACTGGAATTATTATCCATTGAACATATGACAAAGAGCTTTAAGATAATTTTCTCAAGGTCAGCTAGGTAGTGGCAGGGAAGAGACTATAACTCAGGCCTCGCAGAATCCAATATTGGGCCTTTCTCCAGAACACTTTCTCCGCTGAAAGCATTACCCAAATGTTAAGAACTTAGAAAAGTAGTTAATTTAAGAACACTATTCTAGTTTTTAACTCTTTTAAGTTTTTATTATTAACTCAAAATGTTTTATGTAGTTATATTTAATCCGCTATTTTATAAAATAAGCTATTATTCCAATACTCACTGTTTCTCTGGTCCATGTAGGTTCCTTGTATTATTAATGATTAGTCTATTAGTGAAAAGGATAGCCTACATATAAAAGAGAGTTTGTGTGGCCAGTGTGGCTCAGTGGTTGAGCGTTAACCCATGAACCAGGAGATCACGGTTCACTTCCCAGTCAGGGCACATGCAGGCTCAATTCCTAGTAGTGGGGGCGTGCAGGAGGCAGCCAATAGATGATATTTCTCTCTTGTCTATGTGTCTATCTATCCCTCTCCCTTCCTCTCTCTCTAAAAATTCAATTTAAAAAAACCACATGTTTAAACCTAGTATCGCCTTTCAAAAAAAAAGGAAAGGAAGTTTCTTCAGCCTTCTACATACACATTGACTAAGGATGTGAACTTGCAATCATTCACTTTTGATTCTTCAAGTAAGCATGTGAAGGATGAGCAGGATGGAATGGAAGAGAGAAAATAGTTCTATCTGGCTTTGACAAATGGTTAAAAATAGGTCACGCATAGAAAAGTAAAACAGGGAATACTAAGTGGGTTACCCAACTAGAATAGAAATGGCAGATCAGGTGTGTAAGGTGAACAAAGTACAAGGGACAGGGCTGAAGCAATTGGAAAGACTAGGTTAAAGCAATACCCATGAAAGATCAATGTCCTTAAAGGCTCAGCTTAAATAGGTCTCCTTCCATAAAACCTACCCTCATTTCCCAAAACAAAATTCTGTCCTCTAAAATAACACCGGACCTCTCCTGTAGCCTTCCCAGGCCAAAGCCACTCATGACTCAGCACAAGGAGAGTCTAATCTCCTTTAAGACAGGGTCTTTACAACCTCATTTAACTCCTACAATTCTTAGTGATAAGATGGAGACAGAGAACAAGGGGAGGGTGAAAGGAAGGGGGAAATGACTCCGCTGTCTAATGTCTACTGTGAGCTTGGCATTGTGCTAGATGCTCTACTTATGTCATCTCATGAAAAAAACTAAGGCTTAGAGAGTTTAGTAATTTACCCAAGATCACTCAACTGATAGGTAGTAAATTCAGGACTTGAAACTAGTTCTATCTTCCTCCAAAATTGGTATGAGCTTATTAGTATTTGCTGAAAAATTATTCTATCATAGTATTTAGAAATGGCCAAAGAGGGCATTTCACAGTGGTTCTTAATTATTTCTGGGTCATGGGCTCATGCAAGACTCTTTCCCATAAAATTACATGTATGTAAATACATACAACATTTTGTATACCATTTCTGGAGGATCAGAGCTCCTGGAGTTCATTCAAGAACTGGCTAAGGATACCATGGAAACCAAAGTAAGAACCTATGGATTACAGTATTCCAAGCCTCTCTTCTCCCATCCCATCCCACCCTCCTTTCTTTTCACATCTCAGAGCATTAAACCAGAGAAAATGTAAACACATGAAAAGTTTGACTGAGCAGTAAATGTAAAACTCCTGTATTATACTATAGTTTAAAATGTCATAGAGAACTTGAATAAGGAGACCTTGGAGAATGTACTTACAATCTTTCTATTTCACAGTTATGACCTTCAAACCACATATGATGTAAGACTGAAAGATGAGGTTATTGGAATTCATCCCCAAGGGGGTGAAATAGCTAAAAATCAAACTGAATGGAAATTCCCAGGAAGTATTCTACCACTTAAAGGAAGAAAGGTTTATTTCTGTCATTTCGCCGGAGGAATTTTTCTTGAAAATGTTTTTTAATTTTGGGAGTAAATGTTTTAAATGACCTTTCTGTGGTTACCCTGTATTGTTTCAAAAAGGATTTAAGCCAGCATATAGGCATGGAGAAAATATTATGAAGTACATGTAGGAAAAAAAATAGACTTAATATATAGAGAGAAATGGAGCTGATTTTAAAATATGAATTTAGCCCGGCCGGGCGTGGCTCAGCGGTTGAGCGTTGACCTAGGATCCAGGCGATCGGGGTTCGATTCCCAGTCAGGGCACATGCCCGGGTGCGGGCTCGATCAATGACTCTCTCATCATTGAGTTTCTATCTCTCTCTCCCTCTTCTTTCCTCTCTCTGAAATCAATAAAGATATATTTAAAAAAAAAATTACGCAGCACCAAGAGTTTTATGTATTAAGAATGTATTTTTCATAATTTACAAAATATCTTCATATACATTCTCTCAGTTGATCCTAAATTGATTTTGTGAGGCAGTTATTATCTACATTTCCCAGATAAGGAAACCGAGGTTCAGGGAAGGACTTGAAAATCGAGTCCTTGCTCTTCTGAGATTGCACTGCTCAGTAGCAACTGATCATTACAATTCCTGTGCACAAATAGGTAACGCATCACAGCTCTGTGCAAGAACAATATACTGTACATTTGACTCCTGTGGCCCTGACATATAAATGAGAGGATTACTACCTATTTTACAAATGGCTTTAGATCTCGAGGTTAGATAGAAATCAAATTAAAGGACTTGGAACAGCCCACTTAGGTAACATTTAACACCTTCACTTTATAGTTGAGTGCACTGCCCTTAGAGGCCAAATCATTTGTCACAATCATCCAGTCATGTAGTGGTGGGGCCAAGATCAAAAGCAAGGTTTGCTACATTCTTTTCCTTCTTACTGAATTTTTGGGGTGACATTAGTTAATACAATTATATAGGTTTCAGGTGTACAATTCTGTAATACATCATCTGTATATTGTATTATGTGTTCAATATCCCATGCTTTTCTTTACACAGCATTGCCTCTATAGCATTATGCCCATTTCTATGATTTCTTACATACCCAATTCTGACCTTTCTCTTCAGTTCCCCTTGTGTCCACTGGGTAAAGTTCTATGTGCATACTGACAGGGCTACAAGACCGTGCAAGACCTGGCACCAGTGACTTCTCCAGCTTTTCTCTTCTTCTAAGAGTGTGGGAATGTTCCTGATTCATAAGGGTACTAGGCTTTTGTGTAATATCCTGATAGAGTTGTCCTCTTGGGGCTATAAGTAAAGGCCACACCTTAGAGTAGTAGGAAACTGAGTTTCTCCTGGAAGGAGGGGACATTCTAGATGTCTATCACCAGAAAAGGCTGAGGGAAGGCACCTCACATGGCAGAGACAAATGGGCCCTGGAACCTGGAGGCCTTGGGGAGGGACCTCCCCTCCCTCAAGCAAAAGATGAGCAAACCAGATTATGCAATTCCAGGTAACTTTTCATGTCAAATTCTTGTCTGCTGGACCTTTAGTAAAATCCCCTCCAAACACTCCCCAAAAAAACCTGTGAGTTCACGCTGGGCAAGGCCGTTCAAACCACGTAGCAACCAACCACAGCCAGCCCAGCGTGAAGGTGTTAATAGAATTACATAATGAGACATCCCCAAAGAGGGAGAATATTAGGCAACAGGAACCAGGCCACTAAATTCCAGTCACTTCTCCCCTTTACACAACTTTAAATTCCCAGAACAGATCCATGAACTTTGCACATTCTGTTTCTTGTGCCTAAAACTTCAGTTCCTTTCCCTAAACTTTGGTCTTTTGGATGACTTCTTAATCCGTCATTCACATGCCTGGTGCAGACATCGCCTTCTGGCTTCAGGTGCCCTATCCTGACGCTCACTCCGTCCCGCGTTTCCTCTTCCAAAATGCGTGGTTCTTTACAACAGGATCTGCGTTCGGCTGCCGTTCCCAGGGGTCCGGGAAACAAAATAGGCACTCGCTAATTATTAGTTGAATGAACAAAAAGTTACTGGTCAAGCCCCTTAACTGCAATTTTCAATAGATAAGTCGTGAGCCCTGCGAAAGACGCCAGCCACACATGAATAACTCAGGGCACGCAGCTCTTCCTCCGGGCGTACCCCTCCCTTGGTGCCAGTTGTGTTTCCTTTCAGGTTGACTCCACACAAATGGGTGTTTAAATATATTCCTGTCTTGTTTTTTTTACAGGATGGTAAAATTATGTATTTATATTGATATAAAAACATAACTGGTTACTTATTATATATTATACGTAGTTGTTATGTGTCATATAGAAGTCATCTATGTAATATAAACAGACATTTACACACCGAGTCTTGGGCTTCGTTCCCCTTACCATAAGTCAGGCCTTTTGTATTTCCTAGTTCGGGGCCGCGTAGTATTCCACGCCAGGGGCATACCCTGCGTACTTCACGTTCCTTCTCCACGGTCTCGAACATACAAATGGCTCCATTTTCACTGCCAAGCCCGGGTCTCCACATTCTGAAAGCCCGTCGCCCGCCCGCCCACCTCGCGGGGCTCCCGCGCGTGCAAACCCCTCTCCGCGAGACCGGGGCGGGGCGGGGCCCGAACGC